CAAAAACTCTTGGATTTGCTCGGTACCTGACGTCCAACGCTGAAGTGCAGGTATCACCCAGAGATGTGTACTTGATTTTGAAGTTCAAAAAAAGCTGCTTTCGATTGACTGGAAGACATTAATGTGACCAGCCACGCCTACAACTACGGAGCACAACATCGTCATAATCGTTCCGGTATTTCACATTTTTTTGAAGTAAAGGAATGAAGTAGAAAGGATTTTTAAGCATTTTTGAATAGCAAAATAGTAACGAGTAGCTTTCTACCTCGTTAATTTTGAAGAGAAATATAAATCCGCGTAACCAGGGAACAAATTCATTTGTGTTTCGACTTCGTCGCGTAATGCTCTGGAATTCGGTTCATTTACGTATTTCTTTGTATCAATATATATTCCATAAGAAGCCCAGATTACTTCTATTGTGGACATTAAAACAACGTGACCAGGATAACTTACCTGTATTCATCCATGACCCATAATTTCTCTCGTACAGCATCCATAAGGCTTCCCAGACGATTTTTACCACGCCATCGCGAAGGATTAACGGCATCTGGGCTGTTGATTGGGAGACCTGAGCTTACCGCGCGCAGATGATTCTGTATTCATAGTATAACTTTAGCACAACATTGGTAGCATTGCTCTGCCCATCTTTGAAAGAAACAGCCAGGAGAAGAGACGGTTTGAGAAACAAGCTAGGAAGGCTACGGCATGCTAGCTTAATTTTGCATTTTTGCAGACTTATTTCCTACTATTACACAGAACAAACTAAAAGCATCTCCTTGTTAGGCATCAAAAACTGAGAATATCTCTTTTACTACGACTGACCATCTTTATTTCCTCCATCTGCTCAGAGTAAGTTATCTGATAGAAAGAGATACGTGGGCAGGAATTCAGCGAAAGACTGTGGGCCTATGATGAAATGTTACAAGACAGAAAGGAAAGCACTTCAATGAAACTAAATCAGAGAAAGAAGCATGGCCAATAGCATCATCTCATGACTTCTTTGGATGTTCCTTTACATGGAAAACACTACTTGAAATTTTTTCTCTCCCATTTGAATACAAAGAAGTGAAATATTTTCTTTTCCAAATGAACACCGAGAAATGAACAGTAACAGACACTAATAAAAATCACAAAATGGGGTAAAATGGGGTTCGGCCTACCTATGCCCCAGATGACGTCAGACGGTGAACATTCGACAAGCCTTGAACCGTGAGTCAAAAACAGCATGTAACGCATTTGAGTGTCTTGCATGAACTTCGCTTCTAAGGCAAGGGTCATGATAGATGTGCTCATGCCATCCCACCTAGAAAGAAAAGGTTTATAAGTATGCTTCAAGGTAGTTCTATGCTGTTCAGTGATGACCGACTGTGGTCGTTTCCAAGATATACGTCATATTAAGTTCTCAAAAGGTTTACAGAGAAAACAACTTTAACTGCTACGCACAACTTCCCTAATAGCTTCTGTACCGATAAAAGACAGGCAAACCGACCTTTCCCGATCAAATCCTTCAATCTTCGTGCCGATTCGTTTCATGTTCTTCGGATCGCGTTCTGACATTATTTGTTCAGCAGCTGTTTTATCTCCGGCCGACAGAGCTTTGCTATACCTACAACTCGCACTATTCAACACGAAATTTATTCAAGAAAACGCTGATTCACTAAAACTCAGCGCCCTGCTGACACCACTTACAAACAACCAAAAAATTGACCAAGTAGGGTAAAATTTGAATACATCGGATAGAGAAAATAACCTACATGTAGTACTGTTCAACGCATGTGAACCGCCTTCTTGAACCATCCATTGCGGTCTGTTGGAAACGACACGGATGGAAGTTCGAGAAGGGGCTTTGAATGGTGAAGAAAAGAGTAAAGTCGCCATTGGGTGACGACACTCTACGTGTACCCATTCACAAAAAAATTCGAGAGTCAATTCTATTGCGGAGTCAGGCAACCAGCTAAAACGATACAACTTTAATTTCTAAATTATGAAAAAAGCTTGACACCTACCACTCTGTTTACTGCTTCAATCTTGGAAAATATATCTTTTAATTCCGAAGTGGATGGGTAGTCAAATTGGCGAAATAAATATTCAATAATCTAAAAAAAGGAAATTTGAAATTTAAGTTTAAAGAAAACAGACACGTAATTCATAGCTGTAAATCAGCGTCAAAAAAGCTCATTTATAACAACAAGGATGCACATAGATTATCCATTTTCGTAAAAAAAATATTCTGTGTATCACAGATGGGTCCCAGAACCATTAATAATGGCAAACTGTGAAAGAAGTTGTCGGAATTTCGAAGCAAAACAAAACAAGTTGTTGAACTTTTGGTGAAGTAGGTGTACTAATCGAGAAAGGTCTTGCACTTCTAATTGCTCATCATGCACAACCGTAAATCAACAGCGACTCAATAGATACTAGTTTATAACGAGAACAAGAATTTTTCTGCTGAACTTAGACGAATGTTTAAGGGTTGCCCATCAACATTATTCAAATGCCCATTAGCAAACTCCGCCTTAATTACAGTTGCACAACTTTACCGGCTACCATAGACTTTATTTGTCACGTATGAATAATGCGACCCAACCGCTTTGCTTTTATCGATTCAAAAGTTTCTTATGTTGAAAATAGACTAGTATACTAACGAAATATTATTGTAGTTCGGCTGCTGACTGACGAAAAGCACGTAGTGCTTGTTCCCTTGAGCTTGGATCTTCCAAGAAAATTTCGTAAATATAAACACACTCCACTTCTTTATATGTTTGCATAATCGAGCATGACTCAAGCGATTCATATAAAACCGTTCTAAACTATGATCAAAAAGAAAAGGATCATCTAAATTATAGAACGTTACCTTACCAACACACGGAATTGGAGATAAATCGCTTGAGCTTTTCACTTAACAAATTCTAACGACTTCAAACTCCGACTAGACCAAGCGCACAATCGCATAATCTTGAATTTTTCTTGAAGCGGAAACCAATAACAACAAAGGAAGGAGGACGAAGGAAGGAAATTTGACCTCCCGTGAATGTAATTTAGCGACCTTACTGTTGGAAATCGTTCCACACGACGACATCGACGACAGCGGATTGGCTCATCCCTTTCTTTTCCACGGCTGCCTCACCTTACCAACCACATAAAAGTATTTGGGCGATTCGACAATAAAACCGAGAAACTTACAACGAACGCAAGGATAGAAACTTTCCGTAAACGGTATGAGTTTTTCAAAACCCATTGCATTTTATGAATGCTGGTTTATGAAGCCATTAATATCGACATAACTGCAGAGACTCGTTCCCGCTCAATAGCTTTCAAATAGGCTACATATGGAAGGGAAATAAACCGGTTACATAATCAAGAAAAGCAATTTCATTCCTGGGTTGCCCCTAAGCCCTTACTTTGGTGCCCTACTCATTCCTTTAGTGGCAAAACTTAATGACCTATTGTTCCTTACCAAGCAAAATCAGTAAGTGGACCCGTTATTTTTGTTTGGTATTCATTTTTGACCTTTTCGTCTCCATCAGAGGAATAATGATTCCATCTAGGCATTCTCTTTTGTCAACACAATTTGGTAAACATGGCAAAGTCTAAACAAGTAGCGGCATGGCTTACTCCATGGCTTATTTGTCCACAAGTCCAAGTACGATAATTCAGTTTACCAGGAAAACGCAGTGTAGTGTTACAGTATAACTCAACAGCCTACAATTGTAACAAAGCAGGGCAAAAGGCAGGGACAAATCGATAGGTACTTTGTTTCACGCGATTCAGCAGTCAAGTGCATTATGGTAGTGCGCTGAGGCCGACTAAGTGAGGTCCCTTTTTTTCTAATCAATGTTGACACCGACTAATAAAAGATTTTATGGGCAGGGGAAATGACTAAAAATTCAAGCCAAGAAGGGTTTTCAAGCTATGAAATAAACAAGGAAGTCGGATCTCATAGCACCACAAGCACCACAAAAAGTTCACAGCATGAAGTTCGGAAACGAACTTTTCGCACTAGGTGAGTACAACATTTTCACAGCAAATGGGTCTCTCACGCCATTTCCTAGGTGAATGTGGCATGGGGAAATTCGTGACGTTTATCTGACGGTGCACATAGTGGTACAAACGTACCCTTCACAAATTACCACTTCATCTGTCGACTGGTCAAACATATGCAAAAAGCAAAGACAACGACAAACCCATAATAAGCGTAGTGGCGCTTGACATTCATAAAAATAATCAGAACGACACCTTCCCTTTTTGCTTCCTCAATCCTACTATCCTACATGCCACTCATCATCACCTGTGCCTATTAACTTTTTTCTGGGCCAAGCATGTGACTTTATCTTTGCTGTAAATCATCGAACGTATATTATCGATCATCGAGAAATCTACCCAAAAATATTAAATAGGAAATTTTCATTCAGAAACCATCAGCATCACAACACATGTAGGGGGAATCGATGCAGTTACCTCATTACTAGTGGCAATTCAATGTGCACGGTTTTATACGCCTAATATGCAATACACAGACTTCATACGGTAATCAGTGACAAATACACACGCGCATCATAAAAAGCATGAAGAAATAAATATGTCCGAAGACGAAGGTGAACGAAAAGTCAGTCAGTCAATGAGGAAAAGTTAGCGGTGATGCAAATCCAGTGAGAAAAATCAAAACCGTCACACGTTACAAAAACAGCATCTAGAACAACGCAATGAGGTTCAATAGCGAGCTGATGACACTAAATGTCATCGATGTCGATCTCCACTCCATCGTCAACTTTGACTTTGATCTCTTTCGCTGCTTCAGCCTTGGCCTTTTCTGCGTAGACGCTTGTCTTCTGATTACGGTCGTCAAACTATAATTGGGATCTTATCAATTCTCTCTGATTGACAGGTTCAAGTAAAATAAACGTACATCGATCTCGTCATCAGACTCGTCATCATCGTCTTCCTCTTCTGCCTCTCTCAGCCAAGTGAGAACAGCTTCACACTTCTGAATTATCTTCTTCGACTGTGTCTTCGTAACGTATTTCGAAGAGGGCTGGAATAGTTATCGAATTGGGAATGGTCATGAAACATGTCATTACTCTGCATGTCTCATCTACCATAAGCTTAGCCTTTACCTTATCGCCCCATGCGAGTATTGCCTCTTCCTCACAAATGTCGTTGTCGTAGAGGCCTTTGATAATGTGCGCGGCTTTCGGTAACAAAACCGCCTCATGTTTCATAATTAGTTGCTCGATTCCACCCAAAAGGTAACGCTGTGCCTAAAACAAGAAAACTGCATAGTATGAAATGTAAGAGTCAACAAGTAACTTCTTAGCTACCTTCTTGTCTCCCAGTGTAAACCTCAGTAGCACCCTTCTATTATTCTTTAGCTGCGCCAATCCATCTTTTATAATGTCCTGATCGAGAAGTACATCGGCAAGAAGGAGCGGAGCTTTCTGCTTCAACTCTAGACGCTCCGCTTCATCGGCCAAAGCCTAAAGAATTTGCTAAACTTATTGCACTTGCACAGTTGCTCTAGAAATAAGTGACCTTTCCATCGCCAATTGTTCCTTTCTCCTTGGCTTCAACGAAGAAACGGTGCAACATATCCAGTCGTTCTTCAATGCTCTTGTCCAGATCCTTGTCTATAACAAGCTTTCCAATACCAGCTGCTAGTTTTGTATTCGGTGCTTCATCCTCCTCCGGTGCCCAGTCATCATCGTCGTCGTCGTTCGAACTGTTCTAAAGCACAAGAATTAAGGAAACTGACAAAATTCTAATCTTTTCGACTACAATGACATACCTTATCTCCATTTGAATCCACGCTAAAATCGTCTTCTTTCACATGCCCGTTACCATTTTGCTGCTTGTCCTTGGCTGAAAAGATGCTATCAATTCTAGGCTAGCATCAGAAATGAATAACCGTGAAGTGAGCCTATCGACAACTATACAACACCTCTAATCAATAACTATGCATCCTGCTTTCTTTGAGAGCCACCTACTGATTACTGCAAAAGAGAAACTTTCCAGGTATTAATGATGGATGATGTGGCTGCAGAAAATAGCAAACTAGTTACCCAAACGCGAAACTTGCAGGTAGCAATTTTTTCCGCGAAATTTTAGTGGCAAAAATCTAGATGCATGAGCAATGTTAGCGCCGCTTACTTTTCCAGTTCACATTTACACTACGTAATAAATCAGGGACAGAAAACAAACTTACAGAAGTCAACTTCAACCTTCGGTGGATTCTTTAAAATGTACGTTGATAACCTATGACGGCTGTCGATAACAAACGCATGGCCACATGCTTTGCACTTGCTGTGAATCTGATTGCGCCGCACCGACTAAAATAACAGATTATCGATCTAAACAAAACTATAGTTTACGATAACTTTATGTGGTTGATTATCTATAAAATTACCAGAGCAGTTTCCGGATTATCGCATGCTGGACAGAGAACAAACTTCTTGATGAAACCATCCAGNAGAATGTACGTTGACAACCTATGACGGCTGTCGATAACAAACGCATGGCCACAAGCTTTGCACTTGCTGTGAATCTGATTGCGCCGCACCGACTAAAATAACAGGTTATCGATCCAATTAAAACTATAGTTCACGATAACTCCGTGTGGCTGATTATCTAGAAAATTACCAGAGCAGTTTCCGGATTATCGCATGCTGGACAGAGAACAAACTTCTTGATGAAACCATCCAGGATATCTTGCAACTTCGCTGCGTCATGTTCACCATTGACGATGTAACGCTCGTTTCTCGCGTCGTAATTTGTTTGAGCGCCCAACTCGCAGCCAAAGTATTTTGTTGGATCTGAAAACGAACCGTAAACGGATTCTATTCCGTTTTGAAGCGCAAAGGAAACAATGTATTACTCACACATAGGAGGGCGTTCAAGTGATTTAGCTATCTCAGACATATTCGCTACAACAGTCTTGATACCGTTGCCTTTGCCTTCCACCTAAATTTCGATTGGAATATATCGCTAGCATCTTTCTGGCATGACAACATTGAAGCTACATCTCCTGATGCCGAATGTTTTGCTGATTTCTCCTACCAGACGCTAAGACCGAAAACGTCACTTCTGTCAGTCTCACAATTTATTCCCATAGGAATGCTAGCTTGAGGCCACATGCCAGCCTTTCAGCAAACTAGAGGTGCCAGAGCGGTTCATCCGTGTTGATAATAGGAGGATAGTGCTATCAGTCGTGGGCGCTTATCAATATCAGTTCTCTACATTACGACCCGGTGAAACATTTCGAAATCCTCATTGTGTCAGTGCGGTGAGTACATGTTCACCTGGTGTAGAAACCCTCTCAGCGAGTATCGTACATTCGCCGTGCCATCTTTGGACAACGAGAGTAATAATCGCTAACAAAAGACAAATTCTACCACAAACCTTCGCGAGAAGCTTGGGCATTTTGTAGCGGTAGAATGGGTCGGTTACAGCGCGGTTGACGTTTAGAGCCATTGTGTTCTATATGCGGTTCAGCTGAAACCAAAAATACGGAAGGGAAATGTGAAATCAAGTTTCAACACTATACCCAACGTAAATTCAAACCTACGATTTACACTATAATTCTCGGGAAAGTCGCAAAGCGATGGTTTGTCGTGAATCAAATTGCATACGACGTCGTCTGTATTGTCAGCGATGGCGTCGAGAAATAACGACGCTGAGTATTCGCTAGTCTTCAGTTTCTTTCTCTTTCTTGACAACCTCCCTGAAATGAAACATGTCTGACGCAGACCTCGCAAAACGAACAGAGTAGCCTACCCTCAATGGTTTGGTCGCCAAGCATAAACCAACCGAACACCGCCAACGCGAGATTCGAATGCACCCCACTGCATTCTGCATTACCCAGAACGTGCTCGACAATCAACGTTAAGAATGATTTCTATTCAACGAAGGAATCACTCATCGAGCGGTGAATCACATCACAAAATGATGTAGACGGTATTACGGGTCTGTTAGCCAATACGATTCGTTGTATCAGGCTATACTGGGCGGCTCCTAATACAACGCCGTCAAATAAAGTTGTATAAACTATTCGAAGCCCCAAGATTTTCAATAAATTGTGATTGCAACTAAACCAGACCCGAGCGTTACTATTCCTCAAGGAAAAGATTCCCGTTGAAAGTTACAAAGCAAGGACATATAGATGCCTATTAATGGAAACGCGTATCCCCAGGTTCCACTCAGCACCACTGGTCGTCCATGTACGCTCACGTCTGTGAATCACACAGTTTGGGAACGGCTCGAACACAATCATTCACCCAAAAGTGGAATGATGCATTCAGACACAGGCACGTCAATCAAGGATTGTCACAACGTTGAAAACATATATGACATCTCGCCTGGACTTTTATTGCCATTCATTACTTAATAGTAAAAACATCGTCTTCTCGTTATCAGCCTTATCTAAAATGTCACTGTACCCTTTGAGCTAAACAAAAAAAGGTATCAGATTGCGGTAGCATTTTCTGGAACTTCTCTAGAAACCCGATATGGGAATGCTAATGTTGGTTGGTTTATGAACACTTGGTGATTAATACCTAATGAGCAACGAAACCAAAACACACCTTCTTGAGGGTTGTCGAGCATAAAATTGCAGTATCGTAAGAAGTTTGTTGGGTGCAAGAACATGCACAACTGGCACTCCCAGTAAAAGTGGACGGGTTTTCCAAGTGTCAAGGAGATCCTGTAACAAAAAAAAAAACATATTTCTTGTTACAATCAATCACATGCGTGTTTCGAATGAAATCATAGAAAAACGACATGCAATTTAGCGCATGCATGATGCAATCGTCAATCAGCTGACAATCGCTAAAAGCGATGAAAAAGATGCATCTGCCTATAATGTTAGAGAACCATTTGGCTGAGATTCTGAAGCTCGTAACACTGAAATCTTACGAAACAAAGAGAAGTTTGTGAATAAACAAGCATTCCAAAAATGACTTAAGGTTTTGGGAAAACAAAAACGAAAAAAAACAAAATTTGCAAACTTTGACAAAGAATTTCAACATGATGGAGTGTAGCGAGAGTGTTTGCTGCGCCGGCGGTGCTCCCGTCAAGATAAGCCCCGACGGGCGAGTGAGGAGCGTCCGGTTGGTCTAGTTGCCCGCTCGATCAATAGCTGAAAACTGGGCCTATCCTGGAAAATGCGAACTAGGTCACAATGACATCCACACCATAATATCGCATTCGGGAACCGGATCCCGCCCAAGATACTGGGTACTGATTAGGGACGAAACAAATGGTAGTTGTCTGGGAAAGAATTCGCAATTAAGTGTGCTCCCACCAAAATGGCCATGATCTTCCCAAATTGATCTTTGTGGTTCCACAGACCCATAGGTATGAACAGGTGAAAGCTGGGACATGGATTCAATAACGAAAAGAAGGGGGAAAACCGGCGATCATGAGCTACTCGTCGCTATAAGAGCGGCCCTCAGAGCGCCCGCCCCTAGCTGGTCTGCGTCTATGACTGTAGAACGTCTAACGCCTCTTTGTTTTGCCTGATCTTTCGTTCCATCATGCCTTTCCCCTTACGTTTTATCGACTGACTCTAAAATCACGTTTATAGGTCTGCACTCTGCTCCCACACTGATCAATTCGATCAATTTTGGGAAATCATCCAGGTGCTTCCGAATCAGTCGACGTCCTGGCCGGTGAAATCGGGTGTTTGCCATCTTGGCAAGCCGTTATCTGCTCACCTGTGCACTTCGGGAACTAGCAGTGGGGCATAGTTGTCAAGTCGATTGCATGCTGTCGTCATCGCCTGTGGAAGTGGAAAAAGACCTTTTGAAAAGGTCCGGGTTCTCTCAAGAAACTAGCTGGGCGAGTCTTTCGAACCGATAAAGTTTTTGGCAAAGAACCAGCAAAAAACTTTGTGGGTTGCATTTCATCGGGAAAAGCTTTGTGGTGAAGGAATGCCCTTGTGGGTTGTTTCGGATCGATTCAGAAGCGTTTGGGTGTTGAACAATGGGAGTTGGACGCCATAGACAGGGCGTTCGGGGCAACCGTTGGGTGTTTCCACTATGCTAATTTCACAGAATTCCGTCCCGATAGTGCAAGTTTCTTTTGCCCCCGCCATAGACATGACCTTAGTTCACGCAAGGCTCGGTGGACATACCCGGCAAAGGGATCGTCTTGGGTGGGATTCGAACTCGGACTTGTGGTTTCCGGAAAGTCCATGTATCCATTACGTCACTGAAACCACGTGTCGCCCCTCGAACAATTGCATTCAGACAGGACGAAAAGTTATACATATACATAGTCATAAGTTCTTACTACATTGCTTGTTGATCAATAAAGTGTCCGGTATCGATCAATCTTTCCGGGATGAGCCATGCCCTCGACATCCACTCGAAACCATAAAATGGTTTAAAAGGGTTTTGCTTGTTCCGCATGAATTGCAGGAGCAACTGGTGTTGATGTTTGCACGTTATTCTGCCGATTCCTCGGAAAAGGTGGAGGTGATCAGCCTGTGTGTACCCGATCCGACGACGTGTGCATGAAGCAGCGCCTCTAGCCTCTGCGCCTCTTCACTGAAAAACAACGCTGCCTGTTTCCATCGTTCGAATTGATGACAGGTTGGCCTCGATGTAGAATTAAAGCACATCAATATGATATTGACTCAAGGTGGTACCTGGCGTAGTGGCTCGATGAGCTGTTTTCATTTGCGCAGTTCGGATCGATCTCTCGAAACCCCATGCAAACGATAGCGACGTCTCGAGCCCGTGCGCTATCGACTGGACCGCTTTTACTGTCCCATTACTTCTATGCCGACGTTTTGGCGATGACCGCTCATAACTGTGAGAGTTTTCATTCACTTATTCATTATTCCTCATTCCTCACGCCGGCAAAGGCGACCAGATTTCCCTTCCGCGGCGCCGGCTTCACAGACAGAATCTGTATGAAGAAGGTGTCGTTTTCGCGCTTTCAGGTCACTCTCTCTAGTTCGGGATGTGTTTTTCTCATTATTGTGTGATGGGTGACAGACGGAAACAGAGGTAGATATTCTTGATCTGTGTGAAATGGTAGACATTGTGCGGGCGGTTGCAAAGCGGTCGGCTGATTTGAGGGCTGCTTGTGAAACGCCACATGCATGCCTGGGTCGTATGCTTTTTACCAACGAAAAGGATTTAATTTGCGGTCAGTTAGCTAGGTGCTGCCACTTATGGGTATCATTTGGGGAATCATTGTTTCACTCAATGTGGTATAAATGACATTTTCAGCTCTATCCTTTTTTTCTATTTTTTTGATTCCTTCCTTTTCGGGTTATAGGCCATCAAAAAGGGTCCCGTAAGGTTGGATGGCCATATTCTTGACAGATACAGATTCTATAAAGTGGCTTTAAGCCAGGTGATCTTTGCAATTGTCTAGTAATCAGCAATAGCGTCTAACAAGACGAAGAATAATGATGAACAGTTGGTGATCAGGAAATCCAGGACAGGGCGGTTGCGATGATCACCCATTTCTTTACGAAAATAATCATTCACAGCCACGTCATTAGTTAGTTCTTCACACTCGAAGGAAAAAAGTGGAACCAGCCAGTTTTGAGAGGGAGGATGAAAAACGTTGTACCAGCATGTCTGTACTTTATAGACTAGGCCCTATACCCTAGAACTCGATCTCGTCTATGGCGGGGGGCTCGTTACCAGTTGGTAGTGTGGGCGTAGTTTACACAACTGCACCCTTGTTTCTCATTTTATGCTATTAGGAATGTACATAAAATTAGAAGGGTAACTCCCCCGACCCCCGGCAATGATCAATCTCATCCTGCAATTCGTCACGCACTTGAATTTCATTCTACATGTCCAGATTATTAAATTTCAGACTTTATACGCATCCAAGTGAATCGCCTGAGCTCAAATGGCAATTCGAATCACTTTATTTTTCTACTAATTTAAACTTAGTATCCATTTGGGCTAGAGTGGTTCAGTGACGAATGGCGCACACTATCACACACACATTATTCTGCGATCGAATCCCTGCTCGATACTCGCCCAAGAGCATTTCATCCTTTTGGGGTCGAATTATCAGGAGCAGACCCATCTGGGAGGATGAAAGCACTGACTTGTACATCGGTTGGCCACCGCAATTCATTGTATGGGCCACATACGCATTCACTACGCCGCTACGATTCTGAATGAAAGTCGAATGCCGGGCGCATCCCGAGGACGAGATCGATTAACGTTGAAGGCTTTCGGACTTTTTCTATATGTTTGGCACTATTGATTCCTACAATGTATGGAGAGGCCCGATGTACATGTCAGTCATACTGAAACTCTCTAAACAGCCTCGTACCAATCCCCCGGTTCACAGTAATCGAAAGATTCAAGAGCTTACCCAGTTGTTCGGTATTTGATCCCTGGACTACACATAATGGCGTCTATTGGCTTTTTTCATTACCTTTGAAGGGCTCTTTTATTTTTTTCTTGTAGGGTGTGGTAATGTAGTGGTAAAGTGCC